ATAATTTAACGGATGCATGGCACCTGCGTATCATCGCATCTGGATGAGTTTATGTGGCAACGCAGTGCTAAAGAACGTGACGAGCAGTTTCAAAGAGCTCTTGAGCTCATCCGTACATATTATGTTGTATGAATTATTCTTATTATAACATTTAAAAAAAATTCTTCAAAAAACCGTTTATTTCCTTTTTATTTTTACTTCATAATCGGCGGAAAGATCTATTTAGTTTAGGAAAAGCACCTCAATGATTATACCGCAATGGTTAAGCATTGACGTAGACATAGTAATTGAGCTATAACATTTCTCAATGGGAACCAAGCATTACAATTCAGGTTAGATTTTGATTCGAAATTGTTTAAGGGTAGATTGCATTGTCAAGCGTTTTACATTTTTGTTTTTTTTTTAATTCGATAACATTTGAAAAAAAATACTCAAAGAACCGTTTTCCTTTTTTTAGTATTCCGACTGTTGTGTACATTATACTGTCGCTAACCAGCGAATATGCAAGCTGTATATAGTTTATTAGTTCAACCATGGGTGGAGCTTAGGAGTCTCTTTAAAAAACTGTTGACTATAAATAAATATTGCTGAAAAAACCACTTTGCCGTTTCCGTTAATCACAACTTTGTACCTAGCATTTGTTTTTCAAATTTTTATTAAACTAACAATCGAAGTACTAACAAATAGACGACGGGATTCCCATTGGGATTTCCACACTGCTCGTAGTACAATTCATGAACATCCGAAACTTTCAAAAACCCTGAATCATACGGCTCAATTTCTGGATAGTGACTACGAAGACCTGTGAGAGCCATTGCACAAAACTAAAAGTAAACCTTAAGAAAAATTACAACCATTTTGATCAATGATAATCGTAAAAATGATTTACGTTATGTTCATGCTATTGGTATCGAATTATTATACTATAGCATAAGAATTTTTTAGTAATACTTGAATGTAACGCTGACCTCAGTGTTTGTGTGTTTTAAGAATAAATAACAAAAATACATGCACACTGTATTTTAGAAATAAAATTGCTAACCTCACGGTGCCTTGGCAACCTAAGTTGATATATTTTTTTGAGTTGTCCGTTCAAATACTTACATAGTTTCTTTCTCCTGCTTTCTCTCTATCTTTTCTCCCACCCTCTCTCTTCTTATATATGCTTTATATATATATATATATTTGTATATATGTGTGTGTGTGTGTTTGTGTGTGTATTTGTATATTATTTTAAGTTATCAAGGTATTATATAAAGTATAATATATAAAATATAATGTCTTCATACAATGGATAAGGATGCTTTCAATCGTTAAATATATAAGAGCGACTCAAACCTCATGTGATATGATCAACATACCATGCTCCTGTGTGATTGTGTGTTATATACTGTACAGTGTACTTATAGAGACCGACCGAAACTGTTTTTTTTCTTTCGGCCGAAACCGAAACAAAGCCGAAATTGAAATTTCAGTTTCGGCCGAAACCGAAATAAGGCCGAATCTAAAAAATAGGTTTTGGCCGAAACCGAAAAAAACCGAAACTAAAAAAATATTTTCGGCCGAAACCGAAACCGAATATTGAAAATTTTAATAGAACATCATTTATATAACTTTTTACTTTAAAAATTTAGACAGTTACTTCAAAACATTTTTTTCAATGAAATCAAAAATAAATATAGCAAGTTAAAATGTTATAAAAATAATAGCGGACACAAATGTTTATTCAATGCAAGAAAAAAAACAAAATACAATGAATCTGAAATATTGTTTGAAAGTGACTGTTTTGGTTTAATATTTAAATCCAAATAGACGTATATTGTATGCAAGAAATAAAAGCTTCTCAACGTTTTCTCCAAGAAGATTGCTACGACGATCTGCGTAGATTTGTCCTGCAGAGCTGAATAGCTGTTCGCTTGCAACACTTGTTGGAGGTGCGGATAAGTACTTTCGAGCAGCAGGTTCAAGGCAAAGAAATTGGCTGCAATGCCAATAGGCAAAAATGTTAGCTGTTTTATATAGTTATTTAAGAATATCAAACATTTTCAGCAATAATCCACTTGTAGTTCAGTTTTCCTTAGAAGACATTTATCACTTTCATGTAATTTACTCAAGTATTTTTGAAAAAAAAATATTTTCGGTTTTTTTCGGCAAATATGATTTAGTTTCGGCCGAAACCGAAAAACGGCCGAAACTGAAATATAACATTCGGCCGAAACCGAAAAACGGCCGAAACTAGAAATATAACATTCGGCCGAAACCGAAAAACGGCCGAAACTAGAAAAATTGGCAGTTTCGGCGCCGAAACCGAAACCGAATTTCGGTCGGTCTCTACTTACACACATAGTATTACTTATTGTACATGTTTACTTTTCTCTGAAACCAGAATCCAAAATTGCTTTATTTTAAGAAGAAACTTGATAATGGTGATCTTATGCTTCCTAGATTCAATTCGTCTCGTTTTGGAAAGAGAAGATTTTCTGTTTTGTCTGCAAAAATCTGGAACTCACTACCTGTAAATTTGAAAAAATTCAACAACATGAGCCGACATGTTTTCAAATGTAGTTCTGTGTTTGTAAATCTTATTGAAAAAATACGCTTTTCAATGTTGTATTTCTCAAGTAAGCATAAAAAAAACCATATTCATTTCTTCTTTGCTTGGAATGATAATATTGTATTTTTTAAGATAGTTAGATTTTTAATCCAAACTTTCTGCTGTGTGTATTGCTAGTCGATTATCATTGTTATCTTAAAATATTTTAGTATGCAAGACAGAAGACAAAACACAGTGTTTGCAAATCGTGAAATCATGTTTTTGATAATTATTTATGATTCAAAAAAACGTTAATTTTTTTTAATGAAATTATAGGGTGAGTAGGGTAGACCGGGGCATGTTGAACCACGGGGCTTGTTAAACCAAGAAGGTAAATTTGCTTATTTATAGAAAACGATCGGTAGGCGTTCCATATTTCTAATTATTAATGCAAATCGAACTAGCTGGGTTAATTTCGCGTGTTTATGTCTGCAAATTTTCGAGTAGATGTCACGTATGTGATTTTGCCCCTTTCGAGTAATTTTGAGAAATTGAGGTTATTGTTATTTAAAATATAATTGCAATAAATGTAAATAATTTTACCATATATATTTTGTAGTGTTTTTATCTGGTAAAACAGTACGTGGTTTTTTACACGCCTTTGTAGCATGTTAGTGAGGCTACAGTTGAAATACACTAAAACCACTATGATTGGGACATATTGAGCCATGTTGTCGGGGGTACGTTGAACCATGGTTCAACCTGCCTCTGACATCAATGCAACACGATATGTGATGATTGTACTTATTCTACTTCAAAATTATTCTCTTTTTTGGTTTTATTCTTATTGCAATTGTATTTTTAAAAGTTTGAAGGGCATTAACGATAACTAACTCAATATGGTCAGATCTCGACAGCGAACTACAAACAGGGGTAGCACTTCTTCAGATATAATGCTAGTTGCTGTGAAAGAAGTATTAGATGGTAAAATGAGTCTCCGTGCTATTAGCCGCAAGCATAACCACCAGACCATCTTATTTCTTGAGATTCAATTAAAATTAATGGCTATTATCGTATTCCCCAAATATTCGATTGACTTTTCTACAAATTTTTTCATCTTTATTATATTTATTTATGTATCATAGAGAAGATTTAAACTTTAACTAATAATTGAGGGAGCATTC